TGCATACCGAACTTGCTAATGAAGCTCGGGATTCGAATTTCCCGGGCTTCATTAGCATAAAGCCAGCTCCGCCATTTTTAAAAGCCGGCTTGTTCGAACCCCGTGCCGCGCGGCTACACGCGGCACGGGGTTCGAACAAGCCGGCTTTTAAAAATGGCGGAGCCGGCTTTATGCTAATGAAGCCCGGGAAATTCGAATCCCGAGCTTCATTAGCAAGTTCGGTATGCATACATTACCCCCCTAGTTCGAACTAGGGGGGTAATGTATGCATACCGAACTTGCTAATGAAGCTCGGGATTCGAATTTCCCGGGCTTCATTAGCAAGTTCGGTATGCATACATTACCCCCCTAGTTCGAACTAGGGGGGAAGTGTAGACATACCCTCAGAGAGGAATAAAAACACATCTATAAGATAAGCAGTTAAATGGTGTTTGTGACTGTGAAACTATCTGAGCTAGCCAGGCAGTGGGGTCCATTGGACATCAACAGAGGCACCTGTGATAACCTATATTTGAAAACAGTGCTGAGGTGATCTTGAGATGTATGGATCAGAGAACAGCATATGCAGTGTGAGGATTAGCCCTCAACCGCTGATGAGTTCCATGAGTTGCTACTCATTTTCTTCTATTAAATATTCCCTAAATATGTCATTTCTTATCCAAAAGGGTAGCCTGATTTCTGATTTGCTGTAGTGGGGATCTTCCTTTTTTTAAATACATATCAGAATCCTTTGCATGGGCACTTCACTGGAAGTCTTGCATAAGCCACCAAAAAAGAGACTGAAGTGTATATGAGACTCAAAAGCATCTGCTGCATAATTAGCAAAATCTTTGGAAAGGAGAGCAGATTGGCAATGAGCAGTTTGAGTAACTGCTGGTAACTTTTCTCTTAAATGGGGATGGCTGTTTAGTATCTTACATGTCTTCCCATTATCACCCCTGGATTAAATTACAGCTTTACCTCACAAAGAATGCCCCAAACACATTCGGCATAGGAACATGAATACCCCTTCTTTTAAACAGCTGGAAGAAGCATTTCTCCTACATCAAGCTGTATCAAAGCCAGGCCCACCTCCTAGCATATCAGTCATTAATGCACCTGGCATGCCTTATGAACCAACACTTCAATACCAAGTTCTTAGAAGTATTCTTTACAAAGTATAACCTATTAAGAACTGTGAGTGATCACTTGGATCAATTATCTGTCAGCAACAAATCTATTACTGAAAAATCTTAGCAACTAGTAACAAAGCTATTTCAGGAATCATGTGCTGCTCATATTACTTTTAAAATGCTGCTGATGTTTGTATTTCATTTTATCAGTTTTTCTTTGGTCTACTAAGAGGTGGAAGAGGGTTTCCAGTTTTGCACCAGTTTGGCCAAAAACAAACACAATTCAGTAAATAAGGGGGAAATCTGAAGTTTATACTAAGTGAAAAACCACTGAAAAATACTTTTTACAGAGCACCAGTTAGAATCAACCACCAGTGTAACTCCAGTAAGGACTGCAGTCTGATCCACAGTATGATATATAAGGGCTAGGTAGAGCAATATATAATTATAACTGCAGTCGATATAAGAGGAAAAGCAGTATACATCTCTTTAACCAGTGATGGTTTGAAACTGGACCTAGTTATGAATAAAAGAATAGTACAAACTAGTGTTTGTACTAAAAAACGCTAGTTAAGCACTACTTAGAATCATAGAATCATAGAACTGGAAGAGACCTCAGAAGACTACTTACATTACTAGTCAACAATAATACTAGACTGAATAGTTTTTAGTTATTTGAATATTAAGTTAATAGTCTGTTATAAAACTTTCTTTATTAAAAATACTAGAAAACTTACCTGGGGTTGCCCAGGTCCTTCAGGGCAAGGGGCTCATGCTGTGGGAGTGCAGGAGTTGAGGCACAGCCTTGAGGATGTGGAGGGCTCAGGGCAGGAGGCCAGGAGTGTGGGGGATTCAGGAGTCAGGGTGGGAGCGGTTGAGGAGGGCCTCACGGCAGGGAAGCAAGAATCAGGGCAGGTGGAGGAACTCGGGGGAAAGAGAAGAGGCTCAGCCAAGCAAGATGGCTGCTGGCTTCTCCCTGGGGTAGCAGAGACCAAGCACCCCACCTGCCAATTTGTCGCTGTGGTGGGAGAGGCCACACACCCTACCTGCTGGCTTGTCCCTGGGGTTTAGGGGAGGGAGCACACCTTGCCTGTCAGCTTGTCCCTGGGGGATCACGTTCTCCCAGGCCTGGGCTGAGCTGGGGGCCCGGGGCAACGAAGGACTCCCCACATGGTGCTGTGGCCAAAGGCCAGAGAGGAGAGATATGGGGTAGGAGGGCCATTTATCTGGTCAGCAAAATTGTGAGCCCCAGTGCCAGCTGGCCACCCTCTTTGTGGTGCAGATACTACCAATGATCACTCAGCAGAATAGCTTCTCCCCTACACTCACTGCCCTCAGTGGTCACCTCACAGTATCTCTGTCTCTCCAATCAGCCCAACCCTTTCCATGTTATGGGAAACAACCCCTTTCCAGGCAGATCCTGTTTTCCTAGCACAACCAAACACTGACCTTGATTTAAGTTAAGAGAAAAGGAAGTTGAATACCGAATTTGGTGGTCCTAACTCTTACTATTTAGGTAGAGTTCTTGAACAAATGGACTCACGGATAGATGGATGGACAGAACACAGATACACATATCTCTATAGATAGATTACTTAACAATTCTGAGCAGCAAAACTTAAAATTTACATTTAAAATAAAAGAATTAAGTTTTATTAAAGCATTTGAACTCAGTTCCTGTTTTTAAAGAGTGAAACTTATTTTGAGATGCTATATGAATCTTAAGCACTTCATAAGCTTTGTGCTGCACCACCGCTAAGAGTGAAAGCCACTTTTTACAAGCAGAAAATCAATGAGATCATTGAAGGGAATGAGATCTTAGGCCTGTATTTAAAACATTCCCATTCAAGTTCATGACCCAGATCATAGTCAAATTAAAGTTAATAGCATAACTCCGACTGATTTCAGTGGTGCAGGATTTGTACTTAATCTTGGAAACAAGTAGTGTTAGTAGGAACCTGCTTGCCTTACTCCTCTCACCAGCCTCACTGAAATCAGTGGGAGTACTTGTGTGAGGTAAAGGAAGCAGGATTTGCCTGCAAATGGAGGCAAATAGAGATTGCCAATCTTGTGTTACAATTACATGTTTTATGTTTGCTTTGTTTTATCAAGAAAATTTACAAATAAGGTAATAAATAATTGAATAAAATAAACAGCACAAAGGCTACTTTCATAAATGCAAAATAAAGGGTGAACTTCACTCAGGGTCACTCAGGGTCACAACTGACTTGGGCTTACTGGGTATCAGACATGGCTCAACAAAAACTACAGTATAGACATTTGGCGCTCAAACTGGAGATCAGGCTCTGAGATCCTCCTCTCTCAGAATCTCAGACCCCAGGTTCCTGCCTGAGCACAAACATCTAGGCTGTGTCTACACTGGCACCCTTTTCCGGAAAAGGGATGCTAATGAGACAAGTTGGAATTGCAAATGCCGTGGGGGATTTAAATATCCCCCGCGTATTTGCATGAACATGGCTGCCGCTTTTTTCTGGCTCAGGGCTTTTCCGGAGAAAAGCGCCAGTCTAGACGGAATCTTTCGGAAAATAAAGCCTTTTCCGGAAGATCCCTTATTCCTGATGTGAAAGGGCTGTGCTCATTAAATAAATTCAAAGAACTAAATATGTGGATTGTTAAACAGATGGTGAAGATGCTTGACGGTATAGAAATGTAATGTTATAATTTAAGTCTGAAGCCATAAAATGGTACTTTGTCTCAATTAAATACTTAAGATGCCATCATTTCAGATGAGGAAAGGGAAATCTAAATGTTTCATTTAGACAGGGTGAGTTTTATGTATTTATTACAGCATTTTTAGTGATAGTTATTATGGTATTGAAAAATACTACGGAACAAATTAATTTGTTTTTGCAAGAGACTTTTTTATTTTGTTGGTTTTGCTGTTCAAAACTCATTCCAACTGCATAGGCAAGTGAGAGTTTTAATTTTATTTATTTTTTTATTTGAATATTTATATGGCAGCAAAAGGCAAGGGTTTTCTCTTCCTCTACATCTTGGAAAGGCTTGAAAATGATTTGCAGCTTATTTCCTTCCACTGACAGTTTATACAATTTTTGGAAAAAAGCAAGCTGCAGCTGGCTACTGATGTGCATGCAAACAAGCTAACATCAGCCAATATTTTAAAGGGATAGCTTCTACAGAATTCTCCACTCTCCTCCCAGTCGAGTTGCTAACATTGCGGGAAACCATTTTTAAGCAGTGCTGGTTTTACTTAACAGCAGCTTCCTGAGTTTGACTCTAAAAATTAATGGTTCTTTTAGGGTTAATTGTGCTGATTGGCCCCATCCTGAATAAACTTACTATGACTTTTAGAAGCTTCAGAGGGTAGCCAAGTTAGTCTGTAACAAGAAAAATTCAAAAAACAACAAATAGTCCAGAAGTACTTTAAAGACTAACAAAACATGTAGATGGTATCGTGAGCTTTTGTGGGCACAACCACGAAAGAAGAAGTGGTTCGTCTCCATGAAAGCTCATGATACCATCTACATTTTTTTTAGTCTTTAAAGTGCTACTGGACTATTTGTTGTTTTTTTAGTTTTTCCTATGACTTTTAGAGACACCTCTCTGAGGCACAATTCCCTTGCTATTGGCCACTTGCTATTGGCCTATATTAGCAGTAAATTGCTAAGTCCCACCTCTGAACTGGGAAGCGGAGAATCAAGGTTCCACACATTTGCCACCCCTTCCTTTTCATTCCAAACCCACCTTCTGGTAGGGGAGTGAAGAGCAGGAGACTGCAGCATCCACTTATTCATTCACCTCCAGGCTTGGGTAGTTCATGCACAGGTAGAAGAGTAAGTCTCACATTCCTTTCTCCCTTGTACAGCTGTATGCTCCAAGTCACAATCTAGCTTTTGTATCTTTCAGGGAAATGGAACTAGACACTAATCTTCTACTGTTGAATTCTTTATCAATCATGTAACAGCAGCAGCAGCTAGAGAATATAGCATCCCTGAGTATGCTCAGCAGAATACTGCATATGATTTCTGAGGAAGGCTGCATGAAATATCTCCTCCCAGTCTTTGGCTGCAAGGCAAGTTTGAGCATTGTATTTCTTTCCAGGAACAAAGGGAGGAGGACTGTGAACAACACGTACAGTACATGCTAAAAAAGGCGTTACAATTTTTGTAGCAGACTGAAGTTTGCCACTTTGTCTGGCTTTTCTCAGTTATTATGACTACAAGTGTTTCAATTAAAATGACGACATATATATTAAAGTCAACATTTTGATTTCTTCCAGTATAGGAAAGCTGAAAAAACAAGATTTGAATGAATTTCTGATAATAATAAAAACAACAGTGAACTTAGTCTCTGAATCACATGAGCAGAAGTTTTATTAAAACAAGATGGTAAATATCTCATATGTTTGACCCAGAGGTCACAGTACAAGTCTAATTTGCTAATCTATTTAGCCATGAATCTGAATGTCCTAATCCTGTGCAAAATTCCAAGACATCTAGTTAGAAAATAATAGATGGTTACACTTTGAGATACAGGATGTTGTTTAATTCCTATCTAATAGTTATGGTATCAAGGCTAAAGAACTACAGAAGGAACTAAGTAGTAATCCCCTTCCTTTCTAAAGGCATACTTTACAAGTTTTGTTACACTGATATTACATAATTGTTCTGTAATAGCTGGCCCAGTGAGGATGTGGAGGATGGTTAATGTATCTTAGAGTCAGAATTCAAAATCACACTGCTGCTGTGATCAATAAATACACAGAGCCAGATACTCATGGCAGATATGCCAGTTGAAATCCAAAGTAATTTCATTGGCTCCAGTGGAATTTTTTCGTTTTTTAATGAAATAATAGAGATTATAATCTGGTCTCAGTTTGGTGTGTTGCTAATAGATTTAGTAAAAACCAGACAGTCCTGTTTATCATCTCAATGTTCATCCACTTAGTTTGTGTCCTTCTCAAAATCTTATCATCCAACATTTCTCTTATCAGTGACAGAAATGTATTACAGGTTTCTAAAGCAAAAAATCAGTAGTTAGGGCAGACATCCCCTTTTAGTAGAAAAGCCAGGCATGGTTATCAAGGGCCTGATTCTCAAGGCTTGCTTTTGTGTGTGCACATTTATACATACACAATACAGGAAGAGAACACACACTCCACGGATGGGTACGCAGCTGGATAGGCACCTATCCACTAGTGTACACATTAAGTTACTGTTACCCACGAGCGTACTGGCAATCAAAATAGGCCCGGGAAATGGGTTGAGAACGGCCCTCCCCATGACATCACCCCTGCATGCCCCTTGAGCCCCGCCCTCTGCGTCATGTCCGGCACGCGGTGCAGGCAGCGGGTCGGGCTCTGTGTGCCACATACAGCATGGACGTGGAGCCGCTCAGAGTGAGGGGTAACAGCATGTGGACACGATGGCCCACCGGACCAACGGCCCACCAGGAAATTCCCGGTATCCCGACAGGCCAGTCCACCTCCTGCTGTTACCTACCTACCTACCTACCTGCTGAAAAGTAGTCCCTAAAATATATACTATTATAGCCAGCACCTGCACAAAAAGATCCCAGTAAAATAGGCAAGAAAACAGTTTTACTGATCACATTGACTGTTTTTGATAAAAGTAATGTGTGGAAATCCCCAGAATGAAGACAGCAGTTAGAATCCAATGTTCTGAAAGCTGTGACATAGATTGTACTATTGAAAGCACATATATATTTGTCATGAGCACCTACTTTCAGCCAACTCAAGTTTTACAGTATTGAATTTGGATCAAAACTTAGTCACCCTGTATGCATAAGAGTAGACAAGGTAGAGGTGGAATATGAGGCAGAAGTTTTCTTTTAAGCATGGTTCCTCCACCATTTTAATCTCCCCAAAACACATGCAAAGAGGTCAATCTCCAGGCTGTCCAAGCATGATAATGTGTGAATAAGGGACATCAGGTTATAGTCTGCATATCTATCTATATATGACTTCTAACCCGAGAGTAGTAACATCCTTCAAGAGAAGAATAATTTGCTTGGGGACGTGTACGTAAAACTTCACATTTATGTTGCTTTTGCAATGCATTTTAAATAAATAAATACATTTTAACTTCCAACCATTAGACCTATCCCACTGTCACCAGTTGCCAAAATTCTAGGATCAGAACTTAGCCAAAAATGGCTCTGATTCAAAGAGATGAGATGGATGCCAACTTGCTCTTCTATAGTTCTATGTACACAATGTAATGACATTTGGGTTTGGCGTCCTTCACTTTGTCAGGAATTTTTAGCACACATGTCATACAGACCTTAAAGGAGGCTCAATCATGATCTGTTGGCTAATCTCTGGACTTTTTTTCATGACTTACCTCCATGCTGACCCCTTTTACATACTGACTTCTTTAGTTAAATGGATGTTAACTTACTGGGGGCAGGTGTGCATCAGATGCCCATTGTCATAAAGGCAACTGAAACTGCTTTGGCAGGCAGATACATCTATAGAGAGCCCAGTAAAAGGTGGAGTAGAAGCTGTTGCTCCACACCTATGTTACCTAGTGAGTCTCCCAGGTAGAATTACTTTTTTTAAGCCAATTCTTCTGATTTAGGTGTTCTTTGTCTGAGTGGACTGCTGCAAAGCAGTCTCAACAAGGCCAAGACGAGACCAGTGTTCCTAACCCAGTTATTTAAATCTGTATGGACTTTTATATTTATTTTTAAAATAAATGCTGATTTTTATTCTTTTTCTATTTAAAAATAACTCTGCTCCAGCAGACTGAGATCCCTGGGTAATCAGCCAGTAACAAATGGCCAAACACTTGAAGAGGAGAGCATAAATGGAGAGGAAATTCTGTTTCGAAAGTCTAGGAATTATAAGAAATGGAAAAAAAGGCAAAAATAATTTTAAATTCTCTGTAAAAAGCATAAAAGCCTCCTTATGATGCAAAAGATGAAGTGTACAGTAAAAGAAAATAGTGGAATGATCTTCTGCAGCACTGTTGTAATTGAAGAACATCAAGTGAGTATCTGTGGAACAGCTCAAATTTTAAGATTGCAGTACTCTTTTACCCTTCTTTCAAAAGTGGAGCTTCACTCCATGCTATGACTATATATAAGAATTTCATATATTCTCCAGTTTTCAGATGTCTAAAGCTTTGTATGAACAATTTATTTATGCTTTTTTACAACTAGTTTACCCCCAAAGTGTTACTTACCTTAGAAAGACTTCCAGTAGCTATTTCCCTTCAACTATAGCTATTAGTCAAGGTGACGTAGGAAGTGTTGAAATAGCAGATCTCGTTAGAATGCTAATATTATTAAGACAGAAGTTAATAGTTCTGCAAGTTAGCTTTATGGCCAATTAATCATGCAATATGATGTATGCTAGAGGCACATTACTAAAGACACAAATCTCAATTTATTGGCACTAAACCACACTTTGGCAGATGGGGGTTTTTGTATGAAAAATGCTCAGCTACAATAAAAGCCGTTTTGAACTACCAACTTATCATGCAATGATTTAACATCTTGTGCATAGCACAGGGGTTTTGCAATGCAATGTCAATCTTACCTCCATGGGAAAAGCTTTAAAATTAACAGTGTGTTCAGAACCACGCTGGTTTTCTCTCCCCCAGTGAAACTGAACATCATGTAGTTCAAATTCATGGCCCCGAGGTAATGGCCCACCTACTAACACTGGAAAAGAACACAAATAAAGACACATTTAGTTTTCCAAGCAAACAAGCTGCTGAGTACATTGTCCACAAACAACTGGGAGATTGTTGCAAACTTCTTTATAATAATCTATCTAACAGAGAATGGGAGCAAAACTAATATATCTACTTCCTTTTCTCCTGTATTATTACCCATCTGCAGAATCCCAGTTCATTCTCAGCTATGAAAATGGTATTATCCTGCATTCTGAGTTCTACAAGGCAGAACAGCTAAGCATATAGCAAGATAAAAGCATTGTATGCTTATCACTTCAAAGAGGGAATAAATGAGTTTATAGACTGATAGCCAAACAGTAGCTCTATGTTCTAACCAGATGATACAGTTCCCTTCTGGTGTCAAACTGTATAATTGCCTTGTAGCTGTACAAATGCCTCACCTGTAACACCTATGTTTGTTGTGCGGAAATTGGTCATGAAAAGCTGGGCAGAAACTCTGGCATTCTTGGCTGCCAATGCTTTGTTAGATAATAATATTTTGATAGACACCACCTGCCAGCCTTGTGAGATACAAGTTGCCCTTGTGTTCATTGAGCTTGTAATAAATAATCTTAAAATTCAGTATCAGCAATATGCTGTATTTACTTAAAGTACTTAAAGTAAACCACTAGGAACCTAGACCTCCAGAATATTCTTACTAATGTTTTCAAAACCTTCAGTTGCGAATGTGGGCTAGTGCCTTAAAATAAAACAATAAAAAGACCCATCCTCCAGTCAAAGGAGATGGAAAGCAGTATGAATGAGTATGTCTACACTAGCTCATTAGTTCGAGGTAGGTAGGCAAATGAGGGCAACCAGAGTTGCAAATGAAGCCCGGGATTTAAATATCCTGGGCTTCATTTGCATGTTCCCGGGCGCCATCATTTTTAAATCCCTCTTAGTCCGAACTAACTGCCCGTGGCTAGACGCGGCAGTTAAACGTTAATTTGAACTAACTCCTTAGTTCAAATTAACTGTTACTCCTCTTTCCACGAGTAACAGTTAATTCGAACTAAGGAGTTAGTTCAAACTAACGATTAACTGCTGCGTCTAGCCACGGGCAGTTAGTTCGGACTAAGGGGGATTTTAAAATGGCGGCGCCAATGAACATGCAAATGAAGCCCGGGATATTTAAATCCCGGGCTTCATTTGCAACTCCGGTTGCCCTCATTTGCCTATCTAGCTCGAACTAACGAGCTAGTGTAGACATACCCAATTATAAGTTGAACAGTTGACATTAATCTATCTTTCTTCAAGTGCAAATGGTATATAAGCATAGATGTACATATGTGAACCCAAACTTTGGCCCTCACTTCCATCCATGCCAGAGTTTAGTCCAATGAGTCCTGAAACTGCTTAGGACCAAATATTGCCCTCAGGTATATACTTGAAACTCTTCACTGAAGTCAATAGAAGTCATATGCTCCTATATAAAGGCAGATTTTGAGCTTAGAGTGCTTACAGGTCTTCCCCAAAGCCCATCAAACTCTAGTCTCTCGCTGTCTACAGAAGACTTTGCATCAGACCCTCTGTGACAAATAAAGTAATGAAAATTAAATTGTTTTCTGTTACATTATGTTGGGCTTTATGCAGTAAAGGATCCACAATCTTCAGTCACTTTATCTGTTTAACTGGATATAATCTCTATGGTGAAATACTACAAACACAAAATTCAGTCATATTGTATTGTTTGCCAAAAGAGAGCAAAAAATATTACAAGTAGGGTGGAGAATTGTAACGTCCCAGAGATAAAACTCATCAATTAAGATTTCTATTATAAGTTACAACAACGGACAAAGTGACTCATACCAATTAGAATGTCTTCCATACTAACAGAACATAAAACTTTAATGGTCTTTGATAAGCATCATCACAATTATAAAGTATTTCATTTGTAAGATAGCAGGACTAAACTACACTGCATAAATTTGCATCTTATATTCCTCTTAAATATGTCACTATAGACAAAGTGCAACAATGGTAAAGTAATAAACATTGTGTAAACCATAGTGTCCAGCATATTTCAAAATAACAATGCGAGCATCTGCACATCTATTCCGTTATTTAGAAATAATTTCAAAATAACAGACGGCTTATTCTGAAATCTGTAAAGCTCATTCTATGAGGAATAATGCCCATTCCAAAATAGCTATTTTGAAATAAGGTGTGTGTAGACGCTCTGCTGCTGCTATTTTGAAATAACCCCTCACCAGGGCCATTTTAAGTTATTCCTCCCCAGTGTCTCCTGAGGCTGTAAATTGAGAAAGCACTTCTACATTAGGGAAGCCTGCCTCAGACCAATTTTGAGGCTTCCCTGCAGTGTAGACATTCTATTTCGAAATAAACTATTTCAGAATAACTATTCCAGAATAGCTTATTTTGAAATAAGCGTGCAGAGCAGACGTACCCTGAAATTGAAACTGTCAGTTCTTGTAGATTACATTTGGCCTGCATTATTGTCAGTAGAAAACTCTCTAAAATATCTCTGAAATATTCAAATCCATCATAACTATTCTACTTCTCTCTCCAGTTATTCATGCTTTCTCCAATTTATATATCATAGATGCACAGTGTCCAAACTGCATGCAGCTTGTAAAATATTTACAAATTTAAATGAAGAGCCTGAATGTCTGTTCTGAATTGAGGATCAAAAGGACCATCGTTAATGATAGCTCTATAGAGGACAACAATATGTATACCGTGCAATGATATAACTGAAGAATATATAGTTTGCAGTGGAATAGCCATTGATTTAAATATATATTTTAGTCATTCTTATATATTTGTAGGTTTTTCTATGGCTGCTATGGCATGTTTATGGGAACCGCTCATATATTAATTGGGCACATTTTCAAAAAGTGCTCAGTGCTCAGTAGCTCCCATTTAGAAAATCTGGCTAAATGGATTTGTCTTCATGGCTCTCCATGAGGTGACAACCTGTGAGAGTCCCAGAAGGATCCTGGGTTCAGCCAACTTAGGGAACTGGACATAGAGAAATTCTGTTGTTGGTCTTTAAGCTTAACTCCTTACTTCCCATCAGGGAAGTCATATCCCTGAAATGAAAGATCTAGCCTGCTTTTACAGTTGGAGAATGGAGGCACAGAGAGATTAAGCAATAGGAAATCTGTGGCAGAGCTAGGAACAGAATCAAGAGCTCCTAAAATGTGCCATGAAGAATACCAACAAGGAAGCTGAAGGAGACTGCCTGCTTATTTCCCAAGTGTTCCCAAAGAGTCATCAGACAGTAACAGTCAGGCACTACCATGCTGAAGTCACATTGCTGACCTACAGGTGACTATACTGCTTTTCAAGAACTTCACTTCCAGACACATATTACTTTTTAACTATGTGAAAATCCCCCAAACAATGCTGCTTTACACAGGTGCCCAAACTATGGCCCATGTACCACTGGCGATCTTCAGAACTCTTGCTTTAGTGAATTGAGTGGTCACATGGTGCTAGCTTTCATCCTTGTTTTTGGCAGCTAAGCTGCATTAAAAGACAGCTAAAATATGTTAACTATACTTTCTGAACATTAATATTAGTTCCTAGTGCTTGACACACAAAAGCTCATCTCAGAAATATACATTGCATGCCTGTTTCTCCTTTCACTATACAAATTTGCCATCTGTATTATTGGATTGGTGACAATAAACATCAGAGGCCAGATCCTGGGCCCCTGCTCTGACCTTTTTGCATCCACAGAGCAGGTGGGGATTTCCCCAGCAGAAGTGAATAAGAGCTGGCTCTGCAGAATCCTGCCCAGCCTGCTTTGAGTCAGAAGGAAGCACATCTGGAATGCCTTGAGTTTTAGCAGTCTTCTCCTGCATAATACCCTCTACAAGACTTGTTACCAGACAGCACAGTTCTGAGATTCCTCTAATTTTATACAGGGTCTGAACTGGCCTGTGGCTACTACAGAACTGAATGGCCATCAAGGATTGCCTCTCCTCACTTTTCCTCCCTGACATTTAAGTCCTGCATTGAGCATAGGTCATCCAGACCTTCTACATCCAAGATTTCACCTGTCAGTTAATCTGGAAATGGTGTTTATTGCTTTCTAGTTATTATGTGGTAAATATTGAGGCAATACTCTTTAAAACTGAAAGCCTGTCAACATCTTAAGTATAATTCAAGCATCTTATCCTAAATGAACCATCAATGCCTAAAGTTTATCTATATAAAGCATCAGAAGAAGAAATGGAAGTCAATAGAAAACTATTAATTTCCATAGACTTCGTATCAGGTCCACAGTTTCTGTCAGCCATAAATATAAAAGATAAAATAAAATATTTTGACTTGAGCAGAATCTGAATGAAATGCCAATCATTAATTACTTCACAGTCATGGCAAACATCTTAGTTATATTCTGGACAATTTTTTAATTGCAGACACTATTGGCTCAAGGGAATTAGGTTACACTATCATAAGAGGCAATTTTGAACCATCCTGAATCCTGGAAAGCAGGCTGTAAACTTTCTCAACATAAGGATTAATTACAGTATTAGATTTCTAACAGCTTCACAAAAATGAATGTCCAGTTTTGGATCATAATTCAGTTATTCACAAAGCTCACCCCTGCTTCCACTAACAGCAGTGGCAAAACTCTTATTGATTAAAATTATGCAGGATCTGGCTATAGCTCAATTATAGACCTGGATGCTTTTTCTTAGTTCAGTTACTGAGTAAAGGATATTCTTCGAGACAATCTACCTTACCATCCATATATGTGCATGGGGGAAAATGTAAACAATGATTTAACATACCTGATTTTGACTTGAGGAGGATCTGAATGGAATGCCCATCATTAATTACTTCACAGTCACGGCAAACAACATAGTTTGGTGATAAACGTATTTCCAGTAGTGAGGGGTCATATTTGGCTTCTCTTGAATTTAAATTAATAGGAGACTGGTATTCTCCGTTAGCATCAGGAAATATCAGCCCCCACTCGACTCCTAAAAATAAAACAAAAAGCTATCATATGAAAATAAAATATGATAGTTTTTCATGAAAAGCATGCAGCTTTAACCCATGCAGGCAAAAGTACATCACTGAGTAGAACCCTTCACTTAAAGGGATACTATTTAAAATGCTGTAAACAAACATTCCTTTACCCCATTACTGACAACAATATAGTTAGATATGAACACATTTTTGAAATCCCACTGGCTACTCATAATTTAGTATCAGTTTTCCTTTTTGTGCATTTCTCTGAAGGTGAACAATGAAATCAGCTAAATCAGTTCCACTTAGTTTTAAGTCGGTTTCACTATTAGGTTCTTAGTGCTGCCCTGCTTGGCATTTAAAAGCAGCAAAGGAATATTTATTTATTTTAAAACGCCTGATTTCGCTTGCTAGGGTTTTGTTTGTTTGCTGGGGGGGTGGGGGGAGCATTTCTATTGGTCTTAGTTTGCATCCAAGGGTGTTTGTAGCCCATCTGGATTTGGGGACAAACTGAGGTTGGCAGTGCCCCTTGACACCACGATCTCGACGTCTATCTGCCCCCGACAGTTCAGCTGCTGAAGAGGAGCCCACGGCAGCGTTGCCGCGCTGCAATGCCTGGTGACCTGCCTGTCACCGCACTTCGCCTTTCCAGAGGTGAAACGTCCCTTTCTCCCCCGCACAATGAAACTTCTCCCTCCTTCAGAGCCGCCGCTTTCCCGCCGCCTCCTTCCTTACCTTCCTCGTAGCCCCACTCCAAAGCCGCCTCCTTCTGCGGGGAGGACTCGGGCAACTCGATGAAGCTCTTGTCAGCCATTGGCAGCGTCTCCCGCCCTCCAGTGTCCTTCGGAGCGTGCCGGGGTCCCCCTCTGCTGGTCCCTTCTGACGGGAGAGGGGGGTTAGTCTGCAGCGCTCTGAGCATGTGTCTCCAATCGCTCTCTCTCTCTCTCTCCCTCTCTCTGTTGTGTGGGTCAAGCAGGTGTGTATCTTTCCGTGGCATACACAGGGGGAGGGAGGGGACATTCATTCTCTGTGTAACTCTCAGAGGTGATTAGCCAGATTAGATCTCTGGATGCTCTGCGCAGAGGCGTCCCGAGACACAGCTGTGAGGAGATCAGTGAGAGAAAGTCAAGGGGATGGGAAAGACTAATAGGCTGAGTTCTGTCGGGGAAATCTCGTTCCCCTGGGGTACAGAGTCCCCAGAAGGGTCCGAGGCTGCAGGTCAAAGCAGAGAGGCAGGAGAGAGGTCTAAAAGGAAAACTTTATTCTGCATGCATGCAGGCTGCCAGCTACAAGAGTGAAAGCAGCCCTGAGAGACAATTTCAGGGGTCCTTTATACAATATGTTGACACAGTTTAGTTGTTGATTGTTTTTCTTTAACATATCTAAGTCTCAGCAGAAGTACTCTGAGATGTTTCTGTTCGCACCACGTGTGCTAGAAGTCAGTTTTCCAGTACAAAGGCACATCATAACCTGAGTGAGGCGTCTACAAGACAAACTGTGACAAGATAAGAGTTTACATGACAAATTGTGACAGACTAGGAGTCTCCATGAAGTTGAGATAGGAGGCATTGTAAGGGTCTTGATTAGAGTTAAGATGATTTCTCTTTGTTACAGAGAGAGAGGCCTGGAAAACTTTTTCCAGTTTTCTTTTAGAGAGTTTTGATTTCCTCCACAGTTCCCCCTTAGACACAATTGGAGTTATTTAATTTTTCTCCCACAGTATCCCGACAGGTAGATACCCTGGTGTCCAACAAGTTCTGAAGCAATAGCCACTGTGCGTCTACACTGCACCATAACTCAAAATAAGATACGCTAAGCAAGTTGCGTGTCTCATTTCCATGCTATTTCAAAATTGTTTGTTTTGTCACAGCGCCAAATTTCGAAATAGCCTGCTATTCTGAAATGTCCCTTACGTCTCATAGAATGAGATTTACGGGGAAATCAGAATAGCTGGCCCAAAATAATGGGCTTGCTGTGAAGATACAGGATAGCTATTTCAGGATAATCTGGTATCACAAAGTAGCATTGCAGTGTAGACGTACCCTAAAGTGGCTAGTGCTATAGTGAACTAGACGCACTCAACTGGCCAAATAGCCACATTATTCAAGCTAACTAGCCACACTTAACCAGCCAAATAGATACATGTGGCTAGTGGCTAGTGTGTTGGACACCATGGGACTACACAGACATGCAGCTGTGGTACATGAAGTGGGATGATACTGTTGATACTATCTGTCTGTCTGCGGATATTGAAAGGATGACAGTGTAGGCGGATTTAGTTAATGCAGAGACTCCAGGGCGTGTGTACTGGGAGCAGTACTGAAGCCATCCCATTGACAGCAGCGCATAGGCAGTGAATGAAGTGAACTATTGCAACAAGAAGTGGGCTTAAATTGTAGCAAGAGCAGGTTAGGTTGGACATCAGGTTAGTTAAGGACTGAAATAAATTGCCTTGGGAAACTATGGAATCTCTGTGCCTTGCATGATGACAGGTTTCAGAGCATGTTGGTCTGTTTTAGCAAAAACAACCAGGAGTCTGGTGGCACTTTAAAAATTAACAAATGTATTAGGGCATAAACTTTCATGAGATACAACTAATTGAAGAAGTGACCTTATACCCTAATACATTTGTTAGTCTTTAAAGTGCCATTGGATGCCTTGGGTTTTTTTGTGGAATCTCCTCCTTGAGTGTTTTTAAGAACACACTAGATAAACACCTGACAGGAATGGTCTAGTTATTTGTAGGCCTGCCTTGAGTGCAGTGGGCTGGACTAGATAACTTCTGGAGGTCCCCTCCAGTCCTACACTGCCTATTCTTATCTTACTCTTATTAGGGGTCTGGTCTTCTCCCTGTAGCCCCCCTTCTCTGTTCCTCTTATCATCTGTTTCCTCCTAACTTTTTCTCCCTCCTCCTACCTGTAAATATTATGACAATCCCAACTGTCCCTAACCAGAACTGGATGAAGGAGTAAAAGATTCTACACACCCCCACTGAGAGAAACCCAGAGATGGCCCCACTCCATTCCACGTGACCCACTTAGATTGTAAATTCCTTGGGTGTGTCGAGACTACATGGCTCCGTTGACGGAGCCATGTAGATGAGTTTACTAAACATAGCAAAATGAAGCAGCGATTTAAATAATTGCCTCTTCATTTACATCAAAATGGCTGCTGCGCTATGCTGATAAGCTGATTGTCAACACAGCGTGGTAGTCTAGACAGGGATCAGCCAACCCCAGAACCCTTTGTTGTCAGATCCTTTAAGCCTCCTTTACGTAAAACGAGGCTTAAAGGATCTGACAACAAAGGGTTCTGGGGTTGGCTGATCCCTGTCTAGACTACCACGCTGTGTTGACAATCAGCTTATCAGCATAGCGCAGCAGCCATTTTGATGTAAATGAAGAGGCAATTATTTAAATCGCTGCTTCATTTTGCTATGTCTAGTAAACTCATCTACATGGCTCCGTCGACCGAGCCATGTAGTCTTGACACACCCGAGGAGTTTACAATCTAAGTAGGGGCTGGGTCACGTGGAATGGAGTGGGGCCATTCCACGTGAGTGGGGCCGTCAACGGAGCCATGTAGTCTAGACACACCCCTTGGGATGATGTCTTTTTGTTCTGTGTCCAGCACCTAGAACAATAGGGTTCTGCTCCCTGACTGGGTCCTGCTCCTAGCTGCTACAATAATACAAACAATAAGTAATCATAATATTTGTGTTGATAATTAAAGGGGCTTTCAAAGTACCCTGTACCAGAGCAACTCACAGCTCTGTGGGGGAAAAGGGGCGAGTGAACCAATCTCATTACAGGGCTCCCTGCTTCACAGGATGTAAAGATGAAAAGTAATCCAGGCAGCTGCAAAAGCTGCACTAGTTGTGTAGGAGGGAGCACAACAGTAGCAATAAGGATGCCCAGCTCTACCCAGAATTGGCAAGAGCAATTAGGAAGTTCCCCCAGACACCTCAAGAAGTAGATTTGACTGCTGAGATCTCCCACTCCCATACATATACTCCATTTTTGGCCACTCAAAGGAGACTGTAGCTCCTGCCCACACGGTAATGTTACTGATGTCATCATATGACTCCTGGAGTCAGTTGTGTCTCTTGGTGAACCTGGCCCTTCCCCAAATCACATGGGGTATGTCTACACTAGCTCATTAGTTCAAGGTAGGTAGGAAAATGAGGGTAACCGGATTTGCAAATGAAGTCCGGGATTTAAATATCCCGGGCTTCATTTGCATGTTCCAGGGTGCCGCCATTTTTAAATCCCCCTTAGTCCAAACTCCGTGCCCGTGGCTACACGCGGCACGGAGTAGGTAGTTCAAATTAGAGATCCTAATTCGAACTACCGTTACTCCTTGTTTGAACTAAAGAGCTAGTGTAGACATACCCATATAATGCTTGTGAATACTGGGCAGGACGGTAACAAGAATAAAAGTTAATGTCAGTCTTAGATTGCTATTGCAGGAGAGGAAGGAGTGGGTTGGAAAAGGGATCCAGAAATACAACAATAAACCAAGAGCTAATGAGTATCTCATTTATGAAATAAATACATTTACACAA